ATCTCTAAGAGTCCTCTCCTGCTGATGTTCAGGTGTATATCAGTATGTAGTGTCTCTACTTTAAAGAGTCCTCTCCTGCTGATGTTCAGGTGTATATCAGTATGTAGTGTCTCTACTTTAAAGAGTCCTCTCCTGCTGATGTTCAGGTGTATATCAGTATGTAGTGTCTCTACTTTAAAGAGTCCTCTCCTGCTGATGTTCAGGTGTATATCAGTATGTAGTACAATATGTTGGAGCGCTAGCCAATAGGAGCAGACTTACTTCCTGGATTTGGGAGGTGTAGGTGTTGGAGGTGGGGGTGTCGGGGGGCCATCTTTGCGAGGTCGGCCCCTGGAGCGCCTCTCGAAGGCGGGGCTTGTGGCCGCTTCTTTGGCCAGCTGAGCGCTGCGTCCGGCCCTCGTGACGGGGGGCAACGGGCCGCGGTCCCGAGGCTCCTGGGGAGAAGCCTCAGACGGCATTCTGGGTAAAAAACACAAGACAGAGAGGTCAGGGGTCAGGTGTGATTCAGGGGAAGAGACATATCTGTCATTTGTTTCATTTAAGTAGTGAGTAAGCCGGCCCTGCACGACCCTCTAAATAATTTGTAGACAAGTTACCTCTCTTAATATCTGCAGATCACTTTAATTAAATATTTATATTTGTATATATCTTGTGTACATGTGTATATATATATATATATATACCTGTGTAGGATATTACAAGTACTATAAGAGCTTCTACTACTACTACTACTACTACCACCAATAATACTACTACTACTACTTGTACTAATACTACTATTACCACTACTACTAGTATCACTACTACTACTAAATAAGCCAGTCCTGCACGACCCTCCGAATATTTTGCACATTTGTACACTACTACTATCACTAATACTACTACTAATATCAATAATATCACTACTAATACTAGTATCACTAATATGACTACTACTAGATCTACTACAAGTACTATTAGAGCTATTCCTGCTACTACTACTACTGCTACTACTGAATGAATACTTTATACTAACAGAGTATTTTGCAGTATTGTATCAAATACACAAAAGCTGATTCCCTGTCTGTGTAAACTAACCAATAAAGTTTGAAATGACATGAAGTAGGAACAATTTGGATCAATATGAAAGTGCTAACTGGACAAAAATCATAATGACTCCATCTGTATATATTGCATTATTGATATTTAATGTATGTATTGCATCGTCCATGTTAATATATCTATGTTGTAAGCTATAATTTGGACCTTCATAGGGTTTATTTCACAGATATATATCTTCCACTGTCAGTATGTATATATTTTACTTTAAAGTCCTTTTTTATTTCTTATTTTGAGATATGCTTAATGTTTAAATCCATGTATGTCCATGTTCACATCATATGCGATGCTTTGTTTACATGCTGCTGTGACGAAAACACAAATATAGTATACTGTACGTGTTTATTAGGTATCTATATTTCATGTTATTAACTAACTATATCTGAATGTTATAACATCTTTCTTAACACATAGTTTTGTAATTGTTTGGTACTTATCTCACAGCGTCTCCTCTCTAACTGTGTTTATGTTTATTGACCCTATTCAGATGTTTGTGTTTTATGTTCACGTCTATTTGAGTACATGTTCACATTATACTCAATGCTTAGTTTACCTGCAGAAAATGACCCAAAAAGGATCAATAAAGTAAATACTATCTTATCTGTATAGTAGAAACCGAGCAGTTAGCAGTTAGCCGTTAGCTTCCTCTATCTATCTTAGCATTAGCATCAGCTAGCATGTAAGCTACCTTCAGATCGCCCAGTTTGCTGATCACTTCTCTGTTAGCTTGTAGCATCAGCTAGCATGCTAAATGCTATCAGAAAGCAGCTCCAACGCGCCTTTATTCGTCGCTTTATGTAAACATTGCAAGTATAAGTTGATAGAGAAACACAAGCGGGGATTAAAAGCTGCATAGGATTGGAGATATAGGGAGGAAAAGCCTTCTTACTGATTTGATGCAATTCTCTTTTTCCTCTCCAGCTTTGCAGCTTCAACTTAGAAACCGATCAGTTTAAACTCTCTTCCCGGGAGAAAACCTCGGGTCACGAGTCTGCCATATCGACACGATCACAACAAACATGTCCCGGGAAGAAGTGGAGGCGAAAAAGCAGGTTTTAGAGCTGAAAAACTGGCGAAAAAAATTAAAGTTGAAGCGGTCGCTCCGTCATGGAGGCCATGTTTGGGAGCGACCGAAGCACCGCCTCCTGTCAGCAAGCAGCAGGAGAAGAAGTAGGGCCGAAGAAACCCGAATACTACTCACTGTGGGGAGTAAATACAACTGTAACTGTAAATATAACTATACAACTGTAAGAAATAAAGAAATGCCAAGTTAAATCCATCTTTGATATTTAATCCTTGTTTCTCACAGTTGTTTCATGTAAAAAAAAACTGCCATAAAAATATATATTGCCACTATTTTATTATATTTAACAGAGTATTCCTACACACTGGTAAAGTAGAAGTACTCAGATATTGAGTAAAAGTAGAAGTACTCAGATCTTGTACTTTAGTGAAAGTAGAAGTACTCAGATATTGTGCTTGAGTAAAAGTACTCAGATCTCGTACTTGAGTAAAAGTAGAATTACTCGGATCTTGTACTTGAGTACAAGTAGAAGTACTCAGATCTTGTACTTGAGTAAAAGTAGAAGTACTCTGATCTCATACTTGAGTAAAAGTACTCAGATCTCGTACTTGAGTAAAAGTAGAAGTACCAGAGTGTAGGAATACTCTGTTACAGTAAAAGCAGTCATTGTGCAGATTGTTCCGTTTCAGAAAAATATATGTTTTATAATGATTGATCATTAAAAGGTTCAGCTAGCGGGGTTTTCTGTTCGTGAGGTAAAAAGTGTGTCTGACCCCGCGGAGGGATCTGCAGGAGGGCTGTTCTGGGGATGCGGTTTCTGTCATCAGACCGGAAGTCCCGGAGTGGAGCGCGAGGAGAACGGACTCACGTTGCACGTGCCCCAAACATACAGCCTTTATGAATTAATTAATTAAATAAACAATAATAAGATCAATTCTAGATATAATATATAGCTATTTAATTATAACAGTAATGCTCACAACAGCATTAATAATTAACAATAGTAATTATAAAAAGAGTAAAATATACTTAACAATTTTAATAATAGACGTTAATAACCATTTAAAATATATAATACATATTTTAATAAATGTATTCTTTGCTGCTGATGTGTCTGGGACTCCCTGCTGTGCAGAGGAGACCTGATACAAACAGAAACACCTGCTGGATCACAGCGGTATTACAGCTTTATTGACAAATGCATGTAAACAATAACTCAAATATACACAAACACAGAAACGGGTTCTCTTGCAGATCACGATACGTTCAGATAAACTCCACCCCGGCGTCTGTTATGCAGAAGGAGCTGCTCCTGTACGACTTGGTTTTAGAAGAAGAGGAAGAGGAGGAAGAGGAGGTGCAGTGAACTGTGAACATCTGACGTCTTTTTGGTTCCCTGTTGTTGTTGGCGGCCATGTTTGTAGTTTCCTGCCTGGAGCAGAGTAGCCGGTGGGTTACGAGACGCTGCCAGGGGCGGCAGAGGTACGGTCTGTCGATGTCCGAGGAGGAAGAGGAAGAGGAGGAGGAAGAAAAAGAGGAAGGTCCACTGTAGTTCCTCCTGATGGCGTGGCAGGTGGCGAAGACGGTGATCCGGTAATCCCTGAGAGGAAGAACCACAGACGAGATGTCCAACATTTTATAGTGAACCCAACATACAGTGTTAGAGAATAGTAGGCCAATAGAACCACCTAAAACTCCTCTAGAACCTCTGGAACCACCTAAAAGAACCCTTTAACCACCAACGGACTACAAGAACCACTTTAGGACATCTAGAACCACCTAAAGGATAACTAGTAACACCTAAAAGGTGATAAGTACAACTAAAAGTACAACTGTGAAGACCTCAACAACCCCCGAAAGACCTCTAGTCCACCTTTAAAGACCTCTAGACCTCTGGAACCTCTGGAACCACCTAAAGGACCCTTAGACCATCTCATTAGCCGCGTTCACACCGGAGTACTTTTCACCGTACTTTTCGCGTTTAGTTCCGTTAGTACCCTTTATGTCGCGTTCACACCAAAAAGAGCACTTAATCTCGGGAACTTTTACCCCAATTTTTAGTGCCTGCTGAGAGATGGTACTTTCCTGGGGGAAAAAGTGCCCCAGTTCTGATCGGCTGGGCGAATTGCAAGTTCCGTTAGTACCCCTTATGTCGCGTTCACACCAAAAAGAGTACTTAGTGCCGGGAACTTTTACCCCCATGTTTAGTGCCTGCTGAGAGCGGGGACTATACGTAGGGGGGAAAAAGTCGCCCCTAGTTCGTGTATTCGGCGTGGGCGTAATTGACAAACCACCGACCCCGTAAACTCTAGAAAAGTTTTTGTTTTGTGTTTTTGTGTGCCATTGTATTTTTTGCATTAGCATTATTAGCATTAGCATTAGCCCCGCGCACCAACGCAGAGAGACTAACTTATGGCAACACAAAAGAAAACATGGGAGCGGTGGAGATGAGGAGGTGTCGGCATTCTGGCGATTTACTCTGAAGCCAGTCCCCAACTCCGGGGACTTCCGGCCGGGGCCTTCGGGTGGCAGTATACGCCGTGAAGTTGTTTGCGGCCTGCCAGTAAACCCAAAGCAGAAGAAGAAGAAGTGACGTCAGCGGCTCATTTGTGTAATCTTCCCTCAGGGAAAAGTACTCCGGTGTGAACGCGATCTGTACTAAATGCCCTGGGGTAATAAGTGCCGGCACTAAATACGGCAAAGTACTTGGTGTGAACGCGCCTAATGACTACAAGTATCACAAGGAATGTCTTTATTGACCAATACAACGATATAAAGGACCTACAGAACCACACAAAGCACCACTATTACCCCTAAATGAACACCAGAACCTCCTCAAAGGCCTTTATAAACTCCTTAATTTGCTAGAACCTCCTAAATTAAGAATAGAACCTCCTAAATTAAGAATAGAACCTCCTAAATTAAGAATAAAACCTCCTAAATTAAGACAAGAACCTCCTTAAAGCCCTTTAGAACCTCCTGAATAAACACAAGAACCTATTTAACGAACACTAGAACCTCCTAAATTACGTCCTAAAAGCCCTTAAAAACATCCTAAATGAACACTAGAACCTCCTAAATGACCACTAGAACCCCCTAAAACCCCTTTGGAACCCCCTAAAAGTCCTCTAGAACCTCCTAAAACCCCTTTAGAACCTCCTAAATGACCTCTAGAACCCCGAAAGCCCCTTTCGAACTGCCTAAATGACCTCTAGAACCTCCTAAATTACGTCCTAAAAGTCCTTTAAAAACATCCAAATAGACCTCTAGCACCTCCTAAAAGCCCTCTAGAACCTTCTAAATAAGCACTAGAACCTCCTAAAAGCCATTTATAACTGCCAAAATGACCTCTAGAACCTCCTCAAAGCCCTTTAGAACATCCTAAATGAACACTAGAACCTCCTAAAAGTCCTATAGCCCTGCCTAAAAGTCCCCTAGAACCTCCTAAAACCCCTTTAGAACCTCCTAAAAGTCCCCTAGAACCTCCTAAAACCCCTTTAGAACCTCCTAAAAGTCCCCTAGAACCTCCTAAAACCCCTTTAGAACCTCCTAAAAGTCCCCTAGAACCCTTACAACCCCTTTAGAACATCCTAAAAGTCCCCTAGAACCCCCAAAGCCCCTTTCGAACTGCCAAAATGAGCTCTAGAACCTCCTAAATTATTTCCTAAAAGCCCTTTAAAACATCCTAAATGAACTCTAGAACCTCCTATAAAAGCCCTATAGTCCTGCCAAAAAGACCTCTCGAACCTCATTAAAGCCCTCTAGATCCTTCTAAATGACCTCTAGAACCTTCTAAATGACCTCTAGAATCTCCTCAAAGCCCTTTAGAACCTCCTAAATGACCTCTCGAACCCCCAAAGCCCCTTTCGAACTGCCAAAATGACCTCTAGAACCTACTAAAACCCCTCTAGAACCTACTAAAACCCCTCTAGAACTTCTAAAAGAAGAACCTGAGCAGTCGTCCCAGCAGCTCGGCACACTTGCTGAGTTTCTCTTCCTGCTTGGTGATGCTGGTCCCGCCCTCGCAGCGGTCCGGCCAATAGAAAGCGGAGATGCTGTCGATGAGCAGCAGGGCGACGCGGGGTCGAGAGGTCAAGGTCGTCTCCAAGAAGTGGAGCGTGAGGAGCAGCTGGGAGGAAGAGGAGCAATGGACGACGAGGAGGCGAGAGAGACAGGAACCCAACAGCTCTTCATCAGAACCAGAGGAGGAAGAGGAGCGAGCTGCAGAGAGGAGGGCGGTTTAGTGCATGTAAATGGTCTGCAAAGGCTCAAATCCTGCGTTCAAATGTCAACAAACGTCCCAAAAAGTTCCAAGAAAATGTGGTAAACCCCAGCTGCAGACAGAAAACAGTACAAGCATTCTATCATTGTTTTTTATTAAAAGCACACCTGTGTCTACCTGACACTTGAATGCTTCTTCTTTGTTGGTGCGTACCTGCGTTCAGCCTGCTGTCCAGGATGCTGACCAGTCTTAACATGTCCAGACTATAATCGGTGTCCATGAACACAACGTCCACCTCCAGCCCTCCGGCGCTCAGAGGCAGCAGACAGCGACTCAGCAGGTGGTACAGGAGCTCCGTCTTACCTGCACAGGGGAGGAAACTCATTAAATCATGTGCATTCATTTCTGTTAGAAAAATCTCACTCGTCACTCATTCTGACGTTTTCTCAAAATGTTGACGTTTTCTCAAAATATTGTTTTTTTCTGAAAATCTCAAAAAATAAATAAATGTGACAACTTTTTCTCAAAATATATATTTTTTTTAAATCTCAAAATGTTTAATTTTTTTTATTATATATATATATATGTGTGTGTGTGTGTGTGTGTGTGTGTGTGTGTGTGTGTGTGTGTGTGTGTGTGTGTGTGTATATATATTCTATTGGATTGTTCACTTTTTCATTTCCGTGAACCCGGATGACGCCAGGCTCACACTTCTTGTTTATTTTTGTGGATATATAAATGGCGCTTTTCCACTGCAGCACCGCTTTTTGTTGCTTTTCCACTTGGGCTAGTTCCGGCTCGGGGCGACTTTTTCACCTTTTTTCTGGCCCTCCAACAACCGGGCTGAGATGCTAAACTAGTGACGTAAACACTCGACTGCTGATTGGTCAGAGAGAATCGCTGGCAAGTGGGCTACAACTACAACAACATGAACATATTTGACCGTGATTTAATTGTAAGACACGTTTCTAAATGATGCCGAAGTAACAACATACTGATACCGGTTAGTAAGAACCATGAATTAATGCTTTGACAAGTCTGCAGACAGACGGCAGGAGAAAAACCTTTTAAAATGCGTGTTTTCTGAATGGAGATCGGCTAAGCTAACGCAGTATCTGCTCCGACCGTCCACACTCACAACAACGGCCTACAGACAGAAACAAATCAGAGACTGTATTCTCCATGACTCAGACAGTCTGTGGTTTGGACTTGTTTCACTTCTGTCTAGTTTCTGAACAGATATGAGGAGCTGTGATCTCTGAGGGCTAAGAGCTAACGGCTGATGTTTTGGTTTTCTGTGGTTCTCATTGAAGATGACGTCACGGCTCCGCCTACACTGCGTTACTATAGTTACTGCCCCGGCTACTAAACTGTAATGGAGACGCAGCATAAAGTGAGCCTGGCCTACCAGGGCCTAACGAGGCCTAACCAAACCGTACTAAGCCGAGCGAGGACCTGCAGGGGAAATGCGCCATAATACAAAAGCAGGTGTGTTTACCTGCTCCACCCCCTCAGGGCTCAGCTCTGGGTTGTTGTTGCTCTCTGCAGCCTTGGAGTCCAGCAGGATCTGAACACAGAAAATACACATTTAGATTCTACTTTATTTTAAAACTGTGAAAAAAAAATCTGAATATTTGCGGTGGAAATCCCACTCTTAATCACCTTCTGCTAAGAAAAGAACAAATCTAGAAGCTTACACCAAAGTTGTGTTATTTAATAAGGAGTTAGAGCATTTCACAGAATCTGATCTCCAGCTGAAGGACAGACATCTGAGCCAGTTACACAGAGGAGCAGGACACAAGAGGGACAAGAGACATGCTCATTAGAACAGGTCCGGTCCTCCTGTCTGTCGAGTGCAAGACAACTTTATTATTAATAATGTTCGATAATTAACGTGCAATTACGTAATTACCACTACCTTTTTTCACTACTAACATTCAAACTGCGGGAACACGAAGCCAGAGAAGGAAGTGTATATACTTCTGAGACTTCATGAGTGAGCAGCTTCACGCTCACCTGGTACGCAGCGTCCACGTCTCCGTCTGCGAGCTGCAGCGCTTTAGAGGCGTCTCTTCTGGAGAAACCCAGCTCCGTCAGCGTGGAGACGACCTCTGACCTGCGACGCCTCTTCTGACGCTCACGCTGCTGCAGCTCCTCACGCTCCTAACACACACACACACACACACACACACACACA